GAATATTACAAAATTTAAGAAAAGTTAGTTTTTGTGGGTTTTTTGCTTGGAAAAAAGGAGTCAAAGTATTTTTTTAAAAGAAAATCAAAATAATTGTGTTGTATAGAGAACACATTTCAGGTAAAGACTTAGGAAAATACAATTGGTCGAAAATTGAGTATTTGACTTCACCTGGCTCTGCATCGAGTTCCACAGGTTAAAGGAGGGAATTATGTATTTGTTGTTGAAAACAAGGACAAATGTGTCCTTCAGAACAATCCACACAACAAATTAAGAGAGAACCCAGCTAAAAGTGCATAGTTTTTGCACTGCATCTGGGTCATTTTGAGAAATAGGAACCCTTTTCAAATATTCCTTGTAGAATCATTGGGATTTCAAGAGGGGAAGCAGTATTTTGTCCATTGGAAATGCAAATGATTAAAGCAGACCCGGCGCCCTTCTTAATTTGGGCAACCTATTATATATAATCTGAAAGTCTCGGAAACCCAAAGCCTCCGCAGCAGATTTTATCTTGCTTTGACGGGGGAAGGGCTCAAAATTTCCCGGCCTTTCTCTACTTTCTTTGCCAGGAAAGAGACCCTCAGGACATCCTTCTGTTCTGAACATTTTTACCGACAAACTTTATAGCAGGAGCTGCTTGAAAACCAACCGGGTACAAGCAACGGTCCCTACTCCGCCCCCGACAGCCTCCTTAAAAAAAAAAACAAACTCTTGTTACGCCTGCCTCCCGCACCCTACGTTTGGAAGGCTCCCTTCATGACGGCTGCTCCTGCAGTTTCTCTCGCTGTAGGATTCACGGAAGGGAAAGCACAGATTCAACAAAAGAGAACAGGGTGCGTGTGGTGTGACGTAGCTGACGTGAACTCCCTCGGTATTTAGTAGTGAACACTACGGAACCCGATGAATTTGGATACCGACCCAGTTCCTCTCTCCGTGTGCTTTCTGAATGGCGCTTGACGACTGTCAGCTCCCTCGATAACACAGAAAGTTCTAATAATGCAGTATGAAACAGCGCTCTTCCGAGGATAAGTTCTCCCGCTACCCAAGGATCAGTGACAGACGTCTCCAGCGTGTTTGGTGGAAGTACCATGAATTTAGTGATCTTCTGATTACAGTAGTTCCCAAGTAAGTAAGCATAAAGAGTGCAGCCTACTTAGCGTTTACTAAGCAGCCTAATCACCTAATTAATTGCAGCCCTCCATGTTAATTTAATAATAAATGTAATAGTCTTGATAAGTCATATTTCGATATAAATCAGAAAAATAATAAAAGCATCTGACTTTTCCCTCAGTTGCCTTTTAGTGAGAGAATATTTACAGATCATTTCAGCACTTCGTTTTTATTCCTTTCTGTACTGTTTCTGGAAACTGTGTTGATGATAACTATTGGTCTCACGCGCCTCCAATTAGTTGTGTTGAAAAACTGTCCCGTCATCGTTCGTTTTCGCAGGCAGACCCATTCTAGCAGTGCATCAAACTGGAAGTAACGCCCTCTTCCCTGAAAAGAACTGTCCTCATGCACTGTAAAATTCAAGACCACCTAGAAATAAGTATTTCTTTTGTTATCGTGTTCATTATAGGATGAACGATAATTCCTCCATTTTTAAAATCCTAGAGTCATTTATAATGAGGTCAAGCGAGTGTAGTTCACAGTGTCAGGGTTGCGATCTGGCATCAAGTTCCACTGAATATAGTTAATTTCTGAGTAAATGTTTCATAGAAATGTGCTGCCAGTCACCACGAGAAGTCATAATCTTCCATAAAGCCCATATATTAAATTAGTTTGTGCCTAGAGCTCTGTGTGGATTGGGGAGGGTGGGAAGTTCGCTGTTCTGGAGGGTATGGGGAAATCTTAAAATGCCTTGCGATAAACCAGACTGTCGAGTCTTACTTCGAAGAGAAGACGGACTAGGTTCTCGGGCTTAAGGATTGGTAGGGGAAAACTCCGTTCCAGCGCAGCTGTTTGTAATGGGCACCCATGGAAATTGTTGTACCATGAGCACTAAGGTCACAAAATCGCCTATCCGTGCTGCACCTACCCCATAACCTTCCTCTCACGATTAACTTTAGAGGAAATAAACCCATCAGCTACGGGTTAGGTGAGGAAAGGTTGGGGATACCCGTTAAAAAACAGAAGGATACCGCGAGTGGCTCATTTGGTTTTTATGTACAGCGTTTGGAATGCATTCTTTGTGAAACCGACCCTCCTACAAGCGACCCCCCGCCATCAATTTCGATGGCCTAGTTTAGAAGGCAAAACCACCTCCTCCGTGTTTTACAGGAGGGCAGAGAGTTCTATTGGTTCCCACAAAGAGGGAGGAATGGGCACCATCACTCTAGTCACTTCTACCTCGCTCACCTTTGCTGCTTGTTATGGATTCCCATAATATGTCAGTTTGTGCCAAGAGAAGAAATAGCCATTCTTCTTCCTTTAAAAAAGGAGGGGGGAGAAACAACCATTACACTCTCTCCCTATCAAAGTTATTATTGGAACACCTAGACGACTGCCTCTAGTTTGAGAGGGCTTAAAACGGAGGGGGGAGGGGGAAAGGGAGAGAGATCTGTGGGTGGAATTCTCCGGAAAGCTCCTTGAAGGACAATATGGATCCTTGAAATCCCAACCAAAGATGATGAGTATTCTTCTCAAATGAATGGCCTCCTGCTCTCGCCTCGGGCCTTCATTTCTAATTCTTGATCTTACACAGGTTTCCAAGGAAGTTTAGGTCGAGGTGCAGCAAAAGTTTTCAAACACACAAAACCAATGTGCATCGGGAGGTTTGTCCAGTATTCCGGTTTACTTTCCTTATCGGTAAGAGGAACTGCAGTGAGACCCTTTACATACCTATCTATGACCTTTTCCATCTGTCTACCATGTCTATGCCGGCCTATTTCTGTCCGATCACAACCATGTGCTCTGGGACTGCATCTTCCAGCACCACCACCACCCAGCCCGTATGGCTAATAGTGAATACTGAGAGGAGGAACAGTACAGCATTTGAAAAGCCATAACTTCCCCTTCCCTGTCTACAGGGCTCCATCTTAACTTTCGAAGGTGTACCCCTACATCCATTTACTTGGGAATAAATTCAGTGTCAATAAAATCAAAGTCAGTGGAGCTTTTTTCTGAGTATAGGTTTTGAAGATTCCAAACCTCGAGAAACATGACTGGTTACCTCCAAAGAAACGGCCAATACCTCGCAGAGGGGCAGGGATCTACATCTGTTCACAACCTTTTTCTGTTTTTTCATAAGCCTACCCGGATGTCACAGTGAGTACTATTTCTCAAGTCAAAGAGCCCCCCTCTACGATCCACAGTTCTGTCCAGGTGCTTCCGTGGGATTTGTCACTATGCAGATTTATTTGGGAGTAAACTATACGGCACTCCCACTCCATAGGATTTGCTTTCCAGTAAAAATGCAGCATGGGAGCTGAATACATCGTTAGTAATCTGACTAAAGTAAACGAATAGAAAGGAGTTTATTCTAGTAAACACAATAGAACGGGGATGTCAAACTATAGGGGAGGGAGGGAGGGAGGTGGTGTCATTCCCTTAAGAGATGAAAATGTAAGTAACTGAAGTCGATTTTGGAATACATTTAAAACTGGTCCCCATACTGATTTCAGTGAGTCTACACTACACTCACTGATACCTAGTGTGGTATACTGGACAGAGCCCCTGCCGAGATATGGAAGCTTAGTGGGAGTGTGGAACTGGTAAAATGACTCCTTAAATGTTTCACTTACCTTGAAAGCCCTCTTGGGCTCCCTATAAATCGATTCCAAGTTGATGAAAGGTAATATAACATAACACTATAAATGGTATTTATTTCCCTATGATTAAGAAGTCTTACTCATTTCAGACGACTAGCTGCAGGCAGGTTGAGGGACTTTAGCCCATTGTTTTCGATGCTCCTTGACGGAGATAAACTGAGAAATAATGTTATGCCTCTTTGCCTAAGCTGAGAAATAATGTTATGCCTCTTTGCCTAAGCTTACGTCCACTGGTCACAGTAGGATAACCCTCAAGTGAATATGCACAAGAGCAGGCTGCATGTTCCGCTTAAATCGACCAATTTCTTTTCAGCGACCTAAGCTGTTGGTTTCCGTGGGAGAAATAGGACGTATCTTCCCACTGAAATCAAAGGCTTCCGGAGCCGAACTTCATGTATTTCTCTTTGAAAGCAAAGCTTACTCACTGATATTTTTGGCCACTGAATCGCGTTCGTAGCACAAAGTGTTCGGTGGATTTCGTCCAAGTATTTTGCCAGCTGTTCAACTGAATGGGTTGGAAAGTCATGTTACATTGTTTCTGTGTTTACCATCGGTACTTTCTTCCTACTCGAAAGCAAGAGTCACTGGTTTCAATCTTCCTTATTTGTAGCATGAGCTGTGCGATCAAATCTTTTAATCATCAATTTAAAACTGAGGAAGGAGACAGTAGCCAAAAGTAAAACCAAATTTTATAAATTAAAAAAGGTACATGGGAAAGGATTAACAGAGAAATATTCACAATTTCACTTAAAGTAAATAGTAATAACTGAGTGCAGATGTCCACCAAAGAGAATGGTGCAGAAATTTACTGGGAAATTGAGAGAGAAAAGGACAAGAGAAGGCTCTGAATAGTATTAAATTCCCGAGGTAAGTTTTTCCCATCCCACAAAGGCCCGATTAAAATATTCACATTGAATGTAAAAATAATAATTATAATTATAAACAGTAATTTTAATACAACCGCAAAGTGCTGAATCCGCAACATCCCAAATCCTTTATCTCAAGACTGAACGGGACTGCTACGAGCAGCAAATGGACCGGAGCTGCTTCAAAGCGCCAATTCCCACCCAGGGTTGTTCAGTGGGGTTTGCTCTTCGAAGATGAAATCCACTTGCTTTGGTGCGGAAAGGGGGCTCTCTCTCCGTGCCGTCTAGATTGCTTTGGCCAAGTAATGGGCACAGTCAAAGAAAGAGGAAGGCGGGAGCCTACACTCCCATTACATTCGCACCAACCGGAGACCCCACTCCGGTGGGGTGGGGTGGGGCAGAAACCGAGGGACGAGGACTTGAGCTGGGATTCTGGGTCAGGATTCGAGTGAGCCAAGCGTGTGGTTCTTCTTCCTCCTGCTTGTTCCCCATCTCCGTGTCCAAGTGTTCCAACAAGGCGCGAGTTTTTCTCTCACTCAGAAGCGAGGGGTTCCCACCGAGCTTGTCACTGCGTGCCCCCGGCGGCCGCGGCACAGGCCGAGAGGGCCCAGCCTGGAAGGCAGTAGTACGGGTAATAATAGGAAGGCTGCAGAGAGAGGAGCGGCGGCGGCCGGAGGACCTCGCCCGGGTGATACTGCCTTTGGTCGTCGCGGACTAGCACCTTGACGGCGACTTTCTTGGCGGCCGGCGCAGAGGAGAGGAGATCTGCTGCTAGCTGGCGCCGCTTGGTCTTGTAGCGCCGGTTCTGAAACCAGATTTTCACCTGCGTCTCGGTGAGCTTCAGCGAGGCGGCCAGGTCTGCGCGCTCCGGCCCGGATAGGTAGCGCTGGTGGTTGAAGCGGCGCTCCAGTTCGAAGACTTGCGCGTGGGAAAAGGCCGCCCTGGAGCGCTTCTTGCGCGGCTTCGGAGCTGCGGTAGAGGCGGCCATCGGGGCCGCGCTAGCAGTCGTCACATCTTCGTCTTCTGACAGTCCCTTGAAACACTTACCGCCCGCCGTGTTGTTCCAGTGGTCTTCCTCCTCCTCCTCAATCTCCTCCGAGTGTCTGCGATCTGCTGGTGGGGAGGCAGAAACGACTGCAGTGTCAGGGCAGCTGGAGCACTTAGAGACATCCCCCCCAAACACAAAAACAAGCCCTCACTTCCCGTATGGCGGGGATCTCATCTGCCCTCCTTGCAAGGAGACAAACCCATCACTACCCAAGTATCCCACGCTGGGATAGCATTTCAGATTTTGAGGCAAAAGGAGGAGACAGATGGGGACGAACATTCTCCCCATTATATGCACAGATGTCGTAATATGTCGCGACTGGTCAGCCCAGAAAGCTACCTGGGTATTGTCTACTTCGCTCCATTTCAATGTACCTCCTTGCATGGATTAAATATTTCACTAAAACTATAGGTGGTTATGACAAACAGGAGAGCAATGTCTCTTAGCTTACGTTTTACGTTTATTTCCAAAATACTGTACAACCGGTTAACAATTGCCAATATGTAACAGCGGAACTTCTATCAAACTGCGCCTACTTTTGTCAACACTTTGATATACTATTCCTATTATGGAGAATAAAACATAGGACGAAAGACTTCCTGATGTACATTTCCAATCATAAAAGATGGGGGGGAGACATTGTCCCTTGTTAGTGCCAAATTCACTGATTCGGACTCCACAGTGGTCCTGTGGAGTCCGTGAAAATTACTCGCAGGCTGACTCCAAGGTGGTTCCCCAAAGAGTCACGCGATTGAGCCCGCCGAACATTGTCTGCTGGGCAATGCCACTCCTTGTCTCTTCGTATTCTTCCCTTAAAGTCTTTGCTTTTGATTTATCGGGACGTTTGCTGCGTTGCGATTAGCAGCCTCCCAGTCCTCACGAACCCTAATATGTTAGTTTCGACTTTGAAGAAAGCTGCGCGAGGCAGTAAACCGCAGGAGGGCACTTCAATAGGTTGAAAAGGGGAGGTGGAAGTGTTGATATTTTAAACAGGCACACACTGCCCTATGCGTACTTATGTAGGAGCCAGTCCCCTTGACCTCAGAAACTTACTTCACAATAACTATAACTGGAAACCGAAGTGGCCTAGAAGTTCCAAACGACTTTTTTAATTGGCTATCCCAGTGGAGCTATTGTAGGTTAAACACATTCTTAGTTTTACTCAGAATACAGGAATACAGGTATTACCGGAATATTCTCAGGCTGCAATCCCATTCTCGGTTGTTATCCGAGGCAAAGCAGTGAGGCTTGCTTGCTAGGAAACATTTAAAATTTGTGCCACCATGGGGCGACAGACTTAGTTGCCTGGGAAGGACCCCCTGTGAAACGTGTAACAAAAGGGACAGAAAAAGTGATGTGGTGCCACAAGCGCCCTATTGCACTGTATTAACCTTTCAGCCGGCTTCTCTGAGGTGCTGATCTTGCACTTGTGGGAGTAGTCTCACCACCAGTGGTGCCACACTGGCCCACTAGAGCAAAAATGGTTAGCCCTTCCACAGATGTATCTCTGTGTGAATTTTCGTGGGTTACTCTCCACTCATTCAGACACAAAGATTTTAACAAATGCCCAGCAAATTTGAAAACGCTGGCTGGAGTGTGTTTTGGTGGCCCTCCAAGTTGTCCCCCTCTCCAGAAACTGGGGGAAGAATTAGAAGTAAAGGCAGTAAAGGATGTAATAATGCCACCTAGATTTTGCTGCTCTTGCCAAGACGGTAGTTTGATTTGCTTTCTATCACTGTGTTACAGAATTTGGAGGACCCTATTTATAAACTGACTCTGGAAGACTAATTTCAAAGTATGGTTGAACTGGCCCAAGAGCTCCCCCTTGGAGTGAACAAGGAATCCACAAATGGCTAAAAATCGCTGCCAGCTTCCTCATAAGTAAAACCAGCCACTGTAAGGAGGCCGAGCTACCAAGTAGCAGAGGCTAGGATGCAGGTTGCAGTAGAGAGGCACCACAAGGCAAGGAGGACAAAGGTCTCCTTCAGGAACAGCCAAGAAGAAATGGTTCCTCCCATCTAGGAAAAAAAAAAGACAAGATGTGCCCACCCACCTCACTTTCTCACCCACACGCAAACATATATAGAGCGCATTCAGGAAACAGTAGGGGTCAAGTATTTATTTCCATCCCCTCCAGGTATCTTTAGGAAGAGACCTAGTTTAGCAGAGACCACGCAGAAAAGTAATCTCTGTTGCGAGGAGGAAAAGGCTCAGAAAAGTTCGGATTTTAGTTTTAAACTCTTGTTTTGGTAGCCAGAGCCAATCACAGTGAGGAAGGGGGTTGCTTTCTGCATTTATACGATAGGTCCAAAAAAACAGAACTTCGGAATTCATTTCAAATGCACCATTAATAGGAATGTAAACCCAAACTGAAACAATGGTTATCCACCCTAGCGGTGTTTAGGTTATTTTTGTTTCTTGTTACTTGAAAGCATGTCCTGCCTAACTTCGAGCAGGAAAGCCGCATTATTATTGAACTGAATTATTGGGTCCAGGGAAACGCACTTCAGGTGAACAGGCCTATGGAGTGGGTGGGTCAGCTAAAGTGCCTTGGCCCAGTTGTAGTGACCTTTGTTGAGTTTAGATGCCTTCTTATTCTGAGGAAACATACATTTGGGACTCTAAACACTTTGATGTTCTGTGGAAAAGTATCACGCACTGGCTTAATTCTTTCAGGTAAATTAAAGGGGCGCAAACCTGTATAATGTTGGCTGAATCCTGCTCAGTATGATTTATCATTGCTCTTGTTTGGACTGTCTAACAGTTCCGCCACTGTGGTTGAAAGAAGTGTGTTCTGCATCTGTTAGTGAGCCTTCTCTTCTCCGATCATTTTTGTTTTCACCCAGACCACCAAGGTTGCCTGTGGGACTGAATTCCAAACAGGCATGAAGGTAAACTTTAAAGCTTGTTAGCTCTTTAGCGAAAAAGCATTCATTTATGGCCTTTGAGTAGCCGGGTGGGGGTCTCGGCATCAAGAGATTATTGTCCTACATGGTCAAGTGGGAACCCTCTGTGGCATACAGACATCATGAGTAGGAAGCAGTCTGACACCCCATAATATGCTTCCTCTTGATTCCAATGGGAACTCACATCACGGTTTTCAATGCCCAGATTTTGCATCAACAGGAACCTCGCAAGGTTAGGAGATGGAGAGCCGAAAGGCTCCACCAAGTTGGTTAACAGTCAGAATGATTTCAGGTTTATTTCCAAGGTGGAGCAGATGCCAGAGGTAATTAAAAGTGCAATGCTAAATACACTTACCTGGGAGTATGCTCCATGGAGCCCAGTGGAATATACTTCCAAATAAATTTTGTTAGCATTGCATAACTAGGTATAGAGCTGCAATCTGAGGTAACCGTCACTGAATTCTCTGGTCCTTATATCTGAATAGAGATATATATGAAAGTATTACCAATCCTACAGTTTTTAAGAAAAAAAAACTTCTTTAAAGACTTCCAAGCAGTATAATTTAGGAATGGCATGCCAGAATATGAAATCAGTGACTGCCCAGTCTGGCATCACTGACTGGATGGCAGATAAAGACTAAGATTTAGTTTTTTACTCTGGCTTGCTATATAGCCTATTGATTACAACTTGTGTGGGCTCCTAGTCCTAACGCTTTGCCATGCCATATGTGGGAAGGGTGATAGTAAAGATCAAACCCGCATTTTTTTTAACGTTGAGAGACAACAGTTCAAGAAAGTCCTTTGATTCTGGATTCCAAGGAGGGGATAACATAGAAGGTGTATGCAGGCATAACTAGGGAAAGTGGATTCTTGACTGTCTTGCATAAGAAAGGAGATGGAGAATATTCAAAAATGCCTTTTTAGCTTGCTCATCTATTCTCTGAAGCTAATAAAAGCAAACAACATGAAGAAGGTTACAAACTGTCGTGCTGATTTACTGTACGGAGGGAGTTGTGGGTGAGTGGCTTCCCCCACCGCACCTCGATGTGGAACATGTCTAAAGTACGACTCCTCTACCTACCAGCTAAAGCGACTCGGTCCAGAATTCTGCGAACACAGCTCATCATTTCAGGATTATTTGCACAACCCTGAACTCCAAGTAAAACATGACATGGAGCAATGCTGTGAGAAGAAGGCGTTTCAGTTCCATTGCTTTTAATGAAGATACGTCCTGAGATTTATGGCAGGTTTCTCTAATTTTCATTTGGTTTAAGCCTAGAGAAGTACGAATAGCAACCTAGCAGTACACTGTGTAATCCTGACGATCTTGAATCTCGGAAATGTGTCCCCTCGCCCAGGAGGTTCGATTAGTGCCAGGGTCCGGGCCCACACTGAAGCTCTAAAGTAAACCTCGTCCTAATCGGAGTTTCCAGATCAGTTGCTGCTGAATCATTCCTCTGGCATACACGGAGTGTATGGATGTAATTTAGGTAATTTAGAGCGACCTTTTCTCTCCCCCAAAACTTTTAGTTTCCTCTTCAATATGTGTTATGTGCTTTCTAGTCGCTTCGAGTTTACAGCAACCTTAGCAAAGTTTTCAAGGATATATTTCTGAAGTAGCTTTACCACTGCCAGTATCCCTCCTCCCACTCCATCAATTTCCGAGGCCAAGTGAGAATTTTAACCAGGATAGCCACAGTCCTAGTGCAGCGTTCTATCCACCCTATCTCTCAATAGTACAAAAAAGCTAATGGTCCGGTTAGGTAGCTATGCCAACCAAAAGCGGAAGTTTTAATATGGATTAAAGGTGAGCAAAAAAAAAAGTCCCTCAAGATTACTGCATACCTGAATTTCGGGCTGACAGCTCGCTGTCTCTGAGTCCCGTGGCGGACTGGTTTGGGGTCTCTTCCGACGGCAGCTCCCTGCTTGGGCCTTCAGGCAAAGATTGGATGCTGCCGCCACAGGGCAATCCTTCACGCGGCCTCGGGGCGATGGGAGGAGGTTTGCAGCCCTCTCCTTCCTCTTCCTCCTCCTCCTTGTCGCCTTCTTGCTCCTCGCTAAGGACCGATTCCGAGTCCCAGAGGTCTGGAGCCTTAGAGGCTGTGGACTGGTGCCGCTGCAGGGCTGCCGCCAGCGCCGCCGCCTCCTCGCCAAAGCGCCTCCAGCAGCAAGCCGGCGCCAGGTCGGGTTTAGCTGCAGCGCCCCCTGCGGGTGAGGGCAGCGGCTGCAACCGGCCTTGCAAGAAGGTCCGCGCGCCCCGCTCCTCCTTCTTGTTCAGGATAGCTTGAATAGAGAAAGGCGTTGGCGCAGGGGTGCTGCTGCTGCTGCTGGTGGCGGGTGTGGTGGTGGTGGTGGTGGTGGTGATGGTGCTGCTGCGCACCGCCATCGGTCTCCCGCCTCTCAGCCGGACAGGCCCAGAGAGCTGCCCTTTCCTAAGGTACCGTTTCCAAGGCGAAATCAACTGGGCGAGATCATTGCCTTTCCTCTGGCAGCAGCTGTGGCGCCGTCGGGGCCCCTAGGCGTCGTGTTCAGTCCTCTCATAAAGCACTTCGCTGGACTCTCCCCAGGCCGATCGGCTGATCTTCGTCCTCCGCCGTTCGAATCCCCCCTTCTCGAACAGCAAGACACCTTTCCAAGCCCTCCCCTCGTCTCTGGTTCTTTTCTTTTCCTTTCCTTGCCTTTTTCTTGCAAGCCCAGCTGTCATTCCTCTCCGATGAGTGACAGCTCCAGGGTCCGGCCTTGCCTATTGGGCAGGGCTGGACTCGAGCAGCCGCCTGATTGGCTCCGACTCTAGCCAAGAGACTTTGTTAGTCTTTTCCAGGCAAAGTAACTGAAGAAATGGGCGTCCTGTCCCAGAGGCCGTTAACCCTTCCCCGGCCAAGTGTTCGCAAATTCTTTACTCTATCTTTTGCTTCAGAGTAGTTTCTACGAGATAGCTAGCTACAGGAGTTCGCTATTCAGCGGAGACCACATTCTTTTATATATATATAGCGTAGGTTTCTGTGAACTCAGTGAGCTTTACTTCTGAATAAACATAGATGGTGCGAACATATGGCAGATAAAACCATCTTTTAAGAAACAAATACTTAGAAGGTCAGAAGAACTGTCTGTGGAAATTAAAGGAAGTAATTTGAGCTCCCTATCCCTATCCATTGCAAGTATTTCACTACGTCTAAGGTTGATTTTATCGAGTTCCTTGAATGAAGATTTGAATAAAGTTCATTTGCCGACGAACTGTTGGGTTCCTAAATATTGTAGCTAACTTTTCGCCCTGGAGGTGGCCGTTTCTTCATTTTCGTTAGGTCAGTTTCACTCTAGCAGCGACGTAAGGGCAAGGAAGCCTTTCGAATAATTTTTTTAACTGTAGTGTAAGGAGAGCTTCTTCTTTCCTTCATTCACATCTTGAATCCAAACCAAACCAACCCCCGACTGTTGTACATTGGTATGAAATTATATTGAAAGAGAAAAAGATACCGCTAGTGTGATTTTTATTCATCCATATGAAACTCGTACTAAGTTATCAAAGCAAATGCCATGTACAAAGATAATTGTTAGTAGTTTTTATGTCCACCTTTCACAACTCCTGATTATTGATGATGAGACCAATAAAAGAGAAAATCTTTCTGTCTTGGTGTGGAAAGCAGTTTCTTCTTTTGAAACCAATGGACCTTAAATGTAATTGATTTCTGCAGGACTGTGTGTCATAATTAAGTAAGGTACTTGCAAGACGATAGACAAAAACGGGTTTTCAACCCATATAACATTCGTAATTTAACCTTTTCCAAATAATTTCAGGTTACACATTCATCCCTTTCCCTTCCAGAAAAATTTGATGGCTCTTATGGAATTTACCAAATATTGTGTGTAAATTGAATACAAATTGTATGTAAATTAAATGTTAAAGTGAACTGATCATGGGGGAAACGAAGGGTTTTTGTCTGAACTGCCTCCAGAAGCTTGTTGATATTACAGAAATACAAAGAGAAATGGTAGAGGGCGATAGGTGTACGTATGAAAAATAGAACGGACGGCGGTGGCGAGCGGAAAGCCGAGCAGTCCGTTCCATCAAGAAAAAGAGGACATGAATTTCCAAGCAAAGACAGGCCAGGAGAAGGACAGGTTTAGGAAGAAAGAAAGGGGTTTAGATTCTTTAAATTTGAGAGGCAGAAATGGTGAAGTGAAAGGGAAAAAAGAGTGAGGCACCAAAGCGGAGACATTCGAGAGTTTGTGTGTCTCTTCAAGTTACATCCAGTTTTCAGCGACCCTGTTGTAGTGGTCCTAACAGGTCTAACCGCCCCCCCACTTCTCTTTTCCTGAACAGATTTTTTTTTTCAGTGTGCCCATTACACCACGCTGGAACCCAGCACGGTGTAACGTGTGGTAAAATCTGTGAAATTTGTTATTTGCGTTCAATAGATAGAGAAGGCTAGATGTGAAACTGTGAAGGTGAGAGAACAAGCGAATATGAGGAATGTTAAAAACTCCTGCCTTTGAAAGTACAGGCTACTCCTGATTGTTTAAGAGAGCAGAGTCTGGGCCCCATCTTCTGCATTTCATACCATATGCATTTTTCCCTCGGGAGGACCTGTACGTGAATGAAATATAAAATAAATAAAAATAACGACACCTTTTAGTCTTTAAATAGAAATGCATTCAAGGGCATTCATGTTCACCTTGTTGTAAATCTTGATCTCTCCTACTGAAATCTTTCCCGAACTCTGAAACCATCCTGTACAAGTAAATCAGGTTTTGTTTCAATTTAATTTATTCATTCTCCTTCTCTTGAAAGCCACGCACAATTTAGCCCCAGCTAACTTACGTTAAGATTGACATATTTAGTCGTACCGGGATCACGGTGAACTATGGGGCTGAAATCAGTGGTCGTCTGAATGAGCGGCTAGCCCTTGGGCTGCTCCCCATTGAAGGTTACTCAAGTCAGCTGGCGTTTGGGAGGGAAAGAGAAGCACAAGGGAGGTTGCGCTTGTGGCGCTGGTTTTCATCTCCCGAGCTGGAGAAAATTTATAGCCACCTCTAGGACGCCTGAATTTACAAGCCAGCCAGCTACAGCCCTCCGCCCTGAGTTTACAATGGCTGACATTCTTTTTTGCTGGTTCAGTCAAGACTGAATCTCCCCAGCCCCCTCCCCCTGTTCCCAGGCTTCTCCTGGAAATCAGTGCGAATATTGCGCCCTCTTCCAGAACAGCAAACGATCCTTCCGAGAAGGAAACGCCTGAGGAGAAGTGGGATGGGGGCGGGGGAGGGGAGAGAAGAGGACAAGTGCGATTGCGTGCGTGTACGGGGAGGGAGGGAGGGAGAGAGAAGGCGATAGGGTAGCGCAGCCGAAAGTGTCTAGCGAAAAAGGTCGACAGTGAGCTTTGCAGATGCCGTAGTTGGGGGACCAATGCAGGGTCGTCGACCAAGAGCAGAAGCGCCTCCTCCCCAGTGGCCTCAACCACAAGGAAATATTTTGGAAGTATTTGGAGAGCCCAGTAACGAGTTGTTCCCTTGCTGTGCCCTCCAGGAGAAACATGCCAGACCTAGAAAGGGGCATTGATGATGAAGGAGGACACGTGTATGTAGGACTGGATATCAGCTTAATTTGGCGGAGGGGATAAAAGAAAACCGCAATAACCAGCACCCCCAAAGGGGTGGAATGGGCAACAACGTTGCAAATTTTATGTTGGTGAATGTATGTGACCTTGAAGGGACACACACTGAGGCAAGCTACCCTCTAAGGTGACCCATGCTGTGAAGGGGGCAGAGCTGAGTCGAGCAAATTAGATTTATCGGGAATTCATTGGACAGTTCACTGAAAAGGTTTGGCCCAATGATATGTCCTGTCAAATGAGGCAATTTCCATTTCAAGTTATCATTAGGGAAGGAATTGAAAATCGGGAAGGAATAATTAAAGAAGGAGTTGAAAATAAAAGAACCCACTATGAGGAATTCCTATGACACTTTGTAGGCAAAGTTGCTTGGATCAACTCTGACTTGGATACTGTTAATTGATACAGGTTCTGTGGATGCAATTCTTGCCAATTTGACCCATTTTAATTGATACTTTTCCTTTGATGCAGACTGTATGTGGCTAGGATTCTCAGAGAGGTGAATGCCATTACATGTGCGCTGAACCCTTGCCCTTCCTGGCTCATAAAAGCAGTCAGAGTGGAAATGGCCAAGTGGGTACAGGGAGTGGTAAGTGCCTCCTTGCTAGCAGGATAGGATCTGAGCTTGATCAAAGGAGGCAGTAATAAGACCATTATTGAAGAAGCCTTCGTTGGATTCCAGTTTACTGGATAAATCTTGGCTAGTCTAAAATATTCCATTTCTGGGCAAGGTTGTGGAGAGTATTGTGGTTTCTCAGCTCCAAGGATTCCTGGAGGAAGAGGATTATCTAGATCCATTTCAATCTGGTTTCAGGCCTGGTTATGGGACGGAGACAGCCTTCGGGGGAAATGTGTCTGCTGGACCTGTTGGTTCTCAGTAGATTTGGGGTCTACACACCATGGTATTCTTCTGGGCCAACCCTCAGGGATGGGACTTGGAGACTATTTTATCCTTCTTGGAAGGCAGAATGCAGAAGGTGGGGATGGGGAACTTTTTCTCAATGCCCTGGCCATTGGCCTGTGGCATCCCTCAGGGTTCTGTTCTGCTCCCCACTCCCATACTTTCTAACATGTACATTTATTA